GTCAGTAAATTACACGACAAATCCAATTCAATAAGACGTTCTAATTTATCTAATTCATTTGGTATATTGTCCAGTCTTCGTTCAGTACCTGATAAATTTAAAACCTAAAATATGAAGAGAAAAAATCAACACAGTAACATAAATCAAAGGTGTAAAAAAATTATATAATCACAACTATTTAAATATTAGGATTTTCTATCACGAAAATCATTATTTTGAATAACAGGTTCAAACAACATTTATTTGTGGAAAGTGAATTCCTATTGAAGTAAACTAAAAAAATTGTTGCCATGTTACAGAACTAGTTGAATTGAGTAACACTACCCACTGAACTATAAATCAGATATTTAATAGTGTTATACTTGCTATAACACCTGAATAATCCGAATTTGAACACAAAAACAATATAAGTTGTGTAGTGATTCACTTTGAAATCAATAAAAAATTGAACTTTAATTCATAATTTTTTTCTTATCAAAAATGATTTTAGAACGGTGTTTCTAGTGATATTTTTCATTAAGTGCTAACCCCAAAAAAAACGTTTTCGAGAGACCAGCGTAACTGTGTATTCAAAAAGTACATTTTCTAAATTTATTTTAAAACATATAATATAGAGAAAAAAAGTTCACTTTCTATTCAAAGTGACAATAGGTTTTTATCTATATCAATGTGTACCTTAAAATATAATTGATAAACATAACATAAGAAACAATGAATGTTCCTGATGATAAACTAAATTTTGAGGGAGAAATATACTAACACAAAAATCATATAAAAATATATTCATCTGTAAGATGAAGATGTGATAGTCATTTTTATTTATAAAATAATAAATTCATCGAAAATGAGACAAAGGAATAAAGAGTTCCCAGGGAATTAAATATATAGACAAAGAAAATTCTTAATATAACATTCATAAAACTATAAACAGATTAAGTTAGTTACTTATTATTGTAAACAACCCACGTTCCGAAATTGTACCAAGAACATTCGTAAGCTTTTATGATAAGTATAATAATTACAAACTAATTGATTTTATGCGCACTACTGAAGAGTCTGAAGTTAAATGCTTATGTCAAGTAAGAGGCATAAAGTACTCCACGGAAAACTTTTAAGGTTAGAAAAGGCAGAAAAAACTTCGCTCATGAAATGTTAGAAGAAACTTCTCAAAGAGTTTTATCGCATCATAATTAAACAGTTACAGTTCATAAAAGATCTTAGAAGATTAAAGTGGCACATAAACCTACAAATATCCTTATATTTTGTACTTAAAGTAACTTCAAAAGTAAAGCTACTTTCACTTTATCTTCGATTCTCGCCGAAGATGGCCGGGGGAATAAGAGGCAATTAGAAGTTGTTACCAAGCATTTAAGTACTTAACACACTAACCACTAGAGAGAATCGATTTCGAATACAAAAGTGAGTTTAAATTACTGAAGTACACACATAATTTTTTAAAAAAGTCTTCAATTGGACCGAAAAATGAATATTTACCTCAAGTTGTTTCAACGCTGTCACTGATCTAAGTTGAGCATGACGTAACGGATTATTACAAAGGATTAATTGTTGTAGTGAACAACAACGACGCAATTGTGCTGGTAAATTTTCTAATTTATTATTACCCAAATCTAGAAACATTAATTCCGTACATTGAACAAATAAATCCGGTGAAATTAATGCAATTTGATTGTTGCTTAGATTTAAAGCTAATAAGCCTTTAGCTTTTTCAATTCCGCTAGGTAATTGTGTTAATTGATTACAACTAAAATCAACAACCTACAAAAAACACAATATAGAACAAAAAGAGAATAACATTAAAAATGGTATTACTGAAGTGGAATAGATGAAAAGTTGATATTGTAAGACAATAAAACAAAAAAGACATGGTAATACTAATAATAATTTAAATAAAATTCCATTTAATCTTTTCAGTACAGATTAATGTCAGCTAGACAACTAGTGTTAACCTAAGGACGCAGATACGATTGTTTAATACCCTAGATTGTGATTTATCAGCGATGCACACTAATCAATTTGAGGTATTCAATGAAACATGATACTTTTGCACTAAATCAATGAGAATACAATTGCCTATAAATATTCAACTTGAAGTGAAATTTATAATATAGTCCAAACAGTTGAACTATCAGCGAAAGTCGATCCGTGGATATGCAAATTGGTTAGGAGTTTTTAACTTGCACAGAATAATTGTACAATGGTCTCTTTCTTAATTTTGTCAATATTACTTTTGCAGAGGATGATCATCCGTGAAGAAAACTACTTCTAAATCGAATAATTTCTATTAACTTCATATTTTAATAATCTAATTTCAAACTGATTTGTTTGTTTTGTCTAAAGTTTTTAGCAAACGATATCAATCTTCTCATACATCACAGAGATTAGAATTAAGAGAATGGTCAAGATAATATATTAAAGCTAAATTCCGTAAAATGTCATACGAGAAAAAAGGTTTTCCACAGATCCTTTCTTTCTTGTTCAAAATTATTCATAAAATAAAATTTTTATGATTTAAAAAAAGCAGTGGGTCGATCTTGACACATACTTTTATAGAGATACGGTGACCTTAGTCAGACAGTTGAATTACCAAATGTAATATACATAGAGTTAAGAGAAAGTGTATACTCTTGGGATCTGTGCGTCGAACTTTCAACAACAATCTACCAGCAATCGTATCAAATGGATATGGGTCATTGATACCATGGGTCCTAACTTATTTAATTCACTGCGTATTTATTTTATTTTATTTCAACACATAGATATTGGTACAAAGAGGCACCAAATACATATGCGCCACACAAATCTCATTCGACATGTGTGAGGGCTGTGATACTGCCGGGGTGCCCAGACCGAAGCAGGTGGTTTTCTTAGGGGGCCACTCACCGAGCCTTCGACCTAGAGGTCTGATCCACAAGGCAGTGGAGCATCGTAAGGAGATGCAGTCCCATGGTAGCCGGTGACCAACAATTGGTTCATACGCCATTTGTTCCTTCAGGATACTGGAGCCCATGTGCACCATTGGTTTGGAATCCAGTTAAAGCGCCGGACACTCGCTTTTCGTCCTCTCATTTTCGTGAACAACACCCCCGCCACTACGTATGGTTTGAATTTTAGTGATTGGAAAGACTTATGATAGTAGAGATGAAATTAAACATGTTCAAAAGAAATATCAGTTCCTTCAAATGAAATTAAAAAATAGTGCTTGATGGAAATGTTAGTAGATAAAAAAAAACTATCAAATATGAATTCCATGAATCTAACAGTGAATTTATACCAGATAAAATTTTTACACAAAGGAACAGAGTACTAGCTTCAAGCGGTATAACAGAAAATCTCGATCAAACAACAAAAATTTAAAATACTTCAAGTGCGAACGAAATGTCATCATCTGAATGTATAGTAAATATGCTAATTTCAGGTTCGCCTTTGTAACTTCATGGTATTCTACTGAATCTGCAGAATGTTAACAAGATCAATCTGTATTATGTAAAAACACTTTGATTGTAGCCAAGCACAAGTTTATATACACGACTTTAAGACCACGCATTGTATGATGCTCCCAAATGTACGGTCAAGGTTGTGGAGAGTAAACTCTCCCTCTCGAACTGTTCTCATATGGCCACGCGTATAAAGCCACTATCAGGGAAGTCCCAATCACTGTCTTTTCGCTGCGTGATTTTTTACGAAATTGAGAAAACTAAAAGCGAATGCTCGGTGCTTTAATCGGGTTGGCTGATACGGAGGATCCACCCAGAGGACTTGTAAAACTCTGATTCCAAATCAATGGTGCACATAGGCTCCAAGATCCTGAAGGAACAAATGACGTATGAACCTATTGCTGATCATCGACCACAACGAAACTGCATCACCTAACGTTACTCGACTGTCTTACGGATAAGACCTCTAGGTCAAAGGCTCGGGGGAATGCCTCCTAAGAAAACTGACTGTTTCGGTTTGGGTGCCCGGGCAGTACTCCAGCCGCTATATAAATCGAATGAAGAAGTGTGGAGTGTATGTATTTGGTGCCTCCTTGTATCAATGTTTATATGTTTTAAATAAATAAACACAGTATGGTAGCTAGTGGAACAGTGATCAGGTTTCCCAGATCGAAGCGGAACGGATTGAAAGAGAAGGATAAGGTAGAGCTGTAAATAATGAAATAATGCCTCATGTTTATTGCTATTACCGATCCCGAAGCATATAGAAGTGGCCGAAATGTTCAGAGTAAGAAACTATAAAAGAACAATCGTACCAAATTATTCATGAGAATTGTGCGAACAAACTCTAGACATCTTCTGTCAGTTACTTAATCATATGCAAAGTAGAACATGATATATATGTAAATCTGTTAGAGTTGCCACATCACACTGGCATAGTAAGATAAAATTATTTCAATACATATCGACCGAATAGAATAGGTAGTAGCAGTATTGGCAGAACTGAAAAATACTAATTCTAAAAAGGAAATAAAGGAATGAGATCTTTGGACTCAAATAGTAGAAGAAGAGAAAGATTATATGCATCTGTATCACTGTGACTTACTTGAAGATTATTACACTCAAATAAATCAGCAGGAATAGCATCTCGACTTGTTAATTCATTTTTACGACATGTAATCATTCGTAGACTAGGTAAAACATTTGGCCAACCTTTGATAGAACATAAAGAAGTTAATTCATTTCGAACTAAAGATAAACTTTCCAATTGTTCTAAACGTGTTATTTCTTTTGGTAAAAATTTCTCTTTTAAACCAACGTTTTTCAATTTTAACCATTGTAAACGGCACATATCTTGAAGTATTTCAGTAGAAGGCCATATTGAAGGAAGAGGAAGGGATGAATTATCATTTTCAGTATTATTTTGAGTACGTCGAGCAACTCTCTGTTTATCTAAAAGATCTTTGTGCTTTTCAAAATTGATACCAGATAGATCTAAACCTCTCAAGTACTGAACAACAGCCATGTTGAGAATAGAAATTTATTTTAAGTGATTTTCTTCGCCTGAATATTTTGACGAATACGATTAACTCTATCCTAAAATGAAATGGAAATTATGTATTTAAAAATAAATAACTGCATACGAATTAAAAACTAATCACATTGTAATTTTAATGATTTAAGGACGACAAATGATTTTTCATAGAAAAAACGATTATTGAAAAATTATGTAAAATATGAGTACACAATAGATAGCAGTGAAATACAGGAGGAGCGTTCAGTCCTATTGGGGACTCGTCAGTTGGATGTGCCTGCATCCCAGAGTTAGTGTCGGCTCTGAGACACGAACGCCGTACCGTTCGCTTCAGATGCCATCGCGTTATCCACATAGCTACTGAGTCCGGATAGCCATTACCTTGTGTGCAATAGGGTGAATTTTTAATTCATTCTTCGTCCTGAACATCAACATCAACATGGGAATATTCAAACAAACAATACAAAATTAATTAGAAGTGAAGGTTTCGAAACTGTTTCAGTAAACAATACTTTCTAGACGAAATTCATAAGTAGGGATAAGCTGTCTACGAGGGAATTCACAAATCAAAGTGATGAATATAATGAAACATGCAATACTGAACAAAATATAGGCTAGCTGTTAATAATGAATTTAACTTATTCGGCTGATTAATAACACAATTTCGAAAATATTCAATGTAGACAAATGAGCACATCCGATAACTAACAAAGTTAAGTAAATAACGAAATATTCGAAAATTAGGGAGAAAATTATCGTTTATATTATTACAGATTTACTGTGATCAGACAAGTCGTGGAAACCACAAGCATCGTACAGCTATTCAGTCCCGACACAGGATTCCTCAGCTCAATAGGTACAAACCACTGAACCGGTATTCGATGGTTTAAATATTTATATTTTAAAATGAACAGCATCGATTTCTCTATTATTCGAGTATCTCTCGAAATTGCACTTAAAATGTTTCATAACAAAAACATTTGAAATAGTTTTAAGTTTTAATTAGTTAACATTATTAGTAAATAATCTTCTCTAAGACATAATGATAGAAAAATAAAAAACAGCTACGTATATAGCACAAACAATCAGCATATAATGACAAAAAATTGTTTCACTCAGATATAAAACTGAAATGGGTGGTGGTGACACATAGTTTGAAAATAGTATAAAAAGTCATTATTGTACGTACATGTATTTGCATGTATATAAGAGCATTGCTAAAATTGTGGTTACAATTGCAGTAAACAAGAGCCTGAAGTTGAGCTGTTTAGTCAGATAAATATTTGTAAAAGGTCACGTTAACTAAGCAATTCGCAAAACGTATTATGATATAAAAAAATGGGTCAATATGCATACATATATAATTTGAAACAATTTTCATACTAGTACACTAACCTGTGAAATACGTAAAGAATTATGTACTTTTGATATCCGTTGTTTATATTCTTGTAGTACCAATACAAATGGTTCTAGATTTAGAGGACTATCTTGAGCTTTAGCTAATCGACCTAGTGCTTGATTTCAAGAGTTAAAGAGAAAAGGAATACAACAACATAAAAATATCTTCTAATTTAATATTGATAATATTATCGAAATAGAACAGTAAATTCTTATCAAAGATAAATTTTTTAAAGAAGAATATCAGTTGATAACTGGATAAATTTGAATTATTTGTACACACGTCAAACCGTCTAGTTATTCAACTCAGCAATGCCAAAACAGAATATCGGATAATTGGAATAGGTTTGGTAGCTGAAAAGCTAATTTGTTCAACAGAAACCCATAAATATATTTTACTTCAGTCTTACAGAAGCTAACATTACAAACACAATTAAAGTAGAAACTTAACGGTCAGTAAAAGGCTTTCTGATTTCAGATAAAAATGAACATCAAAGATTGATACTAATAGGAAAGGTTAGTAGATATAATAAACGAAGCTGTTAAGAATGTCCACCTTGCAAAAATCGGAAAACCACTCATTGATTATTAATATAGTTGACAGTTACTAATTAAACTTTTAAACATTTGCATATAATGATAATCCATCACGTTAGAATAGATAGTAAGCACTGGTTTGGAAATAACTTTGAATGTTTGGTTATTGCTAACTGTTAATCAAAGGATGCTTTGAATTATTTAGGGATTGACAGGAGAAACGTTTATAAGATTATGGAGGAAATAAAAAACATTCGATTATTAATAATAAACTGTGATGAAAAGTGAATGGATATTGATCAATAAGTCGCTAATAGATTAAAACAACTTTTTCACAAATGCCAGATCAAAATAGTTTATCTACTAATCACCTCTATTCAAATAATGTACCTCCATTTTATATCGTTTCTTCCCCATCTACCTGATGATACTTAAATAGACGCGAAGGTTTCATTTTTGTCTTCTAAATATTTTATTATTGTTGTTAGGAGATTGAAACTTTATTAGAAATTAAATTATGAAGAATCAGAGCAACAATCCGTTAGATTAGATACTAGTTTAATTAAAAGCATTTTTCAACTAACCAATAAACTACTCGACTTTAAAAAGAACCAAACTTAGTACACAAGAACTACAATCAAAAGTGGCTAAATAGTTGAAACGCGTCATTTTCCATCACCCCATCTGAAGTTAAAACCATTCTCATTTCATTCCACTTGTATAGTCTATTTGTATCATTAATCTTTTCTTACATAAACACACAGAAGTGTATAGGTTTGACAATTTACAGTAATTTCTACATTGTGATGATCCTTAAAGTTGATTGAAGATATTCAGAATTGTAACGAAATCAAACAAATACACTAAACTAACCTTGATCTAAGGCAATCAGTTGATCTTGTAGTTGTTTTTGAGATGATTGTAAGTCACAAAATGCTAAATGAAATTTATCAACAGTATCCTTTAATACAGAATATATTCCAATAGAAAACTGCTTAACATTCAAATGTTGACAATCATCATCGATATCATTATCGTCGGTTTCATTTTTTATCTGTTCATTACTGTTTATCCCGATATTACTATCTTGTTCATTATTCTCTTTTGAAGTATCGGAATTCAGCGAAGCAGTAGTAACTGAATGGGATCGATTAAATTCAGGAATTCTAGAACCGGGATTTGATCCTATATTCTAAAAATGAAGCGAAAAACAACTTGAATACAGTGTTCAAGCCAAATTTGAGTTCTATTGAACGTATAATCACCTAATAATTCATAGTACCTAATCTGTATTAATGAATGTGTTACAGTGATAACTGAAATGCTACCAAGTATGGTAGGATTATTTTAAAAAAACAATATTTTATCTGCATGAAACATCCAGTTATTTCAACAAACAGATAATACTTATGTGATCCAAGATAAAACTCGTGTTGTTTAACTCAGCTAGATACTACATTACAAATAATAAAACACATTTACAACATCCCGATGAGTGGAAAATTTAGTTTCTGACATTCTGTGACACAATGTATTCGCTTCCAAAAATCAATTATCCAACATTCAGTTTAAAAAATTAAACAATCAGAGCGCTACTGTTTGACTCAGAATGAATATATCAAAACACTTTCATGGCCAGAACAGCAACTTGCTATCGTATATGGTGTAGGCAAAGAAAGAAAGGTGTGGGCCACGTACTTCGGTTTCTAATCATATTAAGAACGATAAATATTTTGTTTTATTGATGTTTAAAAATATTTTTCAAAAAGAAATTGAAAGCATTTCAGTACAATTTGTAGTTTCTACAAGATAAAAACTTAATAAAGGTATCAAGTGATAGGTTACAGTGTAAATTTTCTTATAGAGTCTTTTAAGCAACCATTATAAACTATTGTACCGTTTAAGCATATAACCTAATAAATGGAAGTTTGGTATTGTGTCAAGTAACTATGAAGAGCTTCTAAATTCATGTTTGAAGCGCACCTTATATGTGATACCATCCACGTGACCAAAGCGAAGTAGGTAAATGAAAGTCTAAAACTTTAGTCCAGATATTTAAACTGTATAATCACTATAATCAAATAATTCAGTGTAAAATAAAGATAACTATTAGACTAATAATGAATCATTTCAATTGATGAATTAATCAACTGACTCCTGAAAAAAAAAAGAAGTACACATTTTATTAAGCATTGGTGTGACAGTCATCTAAATAACATAACACTAAACGAACTATGAGAGAGTACTCTTTATTACTATTAAGCTTAAAAACGTTAAATGATAGGAATAAACAATGGATAGAAGTAAAACCTGATTATCAGGCAAACACATACTTCATGCATAATCCAAAGTAAAAAGTCTGGTATAATATTACCAAAATATATTTCTCTAGAAATATATATATATATATATATATATATATATATATATATTCAGCAATCCTATATGCTGTTAAAGTAGTAATGGTACAAACAATACCTAAAAAACAAAACACATTGATTTTCTCTTTTCTTTAGTCTGAAAAATAAACCGAAGAAGCTATTATTTTGTCTGTCAACTTGAATTAACGAAAGATAAACTGAAGAATTTTTTGTAAATAAAATAACACTGCTATGAGAAGAATACAATATAAAAAAATCAAAACACTGAGAAAAATTATCGAAACGCTGTTTGAAGAAAAAAGTGTTAACATAGAAACATCGAAAGATAAAAATCTAAAAACAAAAAGAAATCAGAATGATCAACAAAATGCACAATAGCTTACGGGAAACAAACAATTGTTCTCACAAAAACGATATTAATTATGAAATCGCATAAAATCAAAGAGATGTGGACAACAGCAGTGTATATACATTCGACCCTGTTTATCACAGCTAAATTAATAATTTTCATCACCAATTACAGGAGAGCACATTACTAATTACCAAGTTGACGAGGTCGAGTTGGCCTGTTCTTAATAAACAGTAAGTCAATATAGGAAACGTAGTTTGACAAACAAAATGTAGAGTAGCAGAAAACAGCAAATATTTATTCTAGCCATTCATTATTATACATCTATATAATAAAATCTAACCGTATATATACACCTTTTGTTTCAAAATTTTTACATCGATTGATGTAAAGAAATTACTGGAAGACGATACAATCCAGTAACAGTAGAATATACAATGATGAATACAAACAACTGAAAAGAACAAATATATGTATATGTACGTGAATGAGTATACTAAATAAGTGAAACTCTGTGTATGCACATATACAATATGGAATTAGTGAAATACACTAATCTATGTAAATTTCCAACTTAAACACAATTATATTATTGTAATAGTCAAAATAAAATTGTATCTGTTAAAATTAAACAGAGACAAAATAAGTCAAAAAAAAATTGACAAGAAATAAGAATTTTCTTTAATTTGATAAAAGATCAACATTTTATCTGATTATTGAATCTATTATTAATTAACTATACTTATAACTGTTAGCATAAGAAAAAAATAAAAACCGATTGGAGAAAAAAAGAAACAATGAAAGCTTATGATAATGTAAGTTATTATGAAAAAAAAAAGAAACGAAATTATTAAAGAGAACGAAAAATAATAAATAACAAGTTTATTCGAAAACACGAAATTTTTCTTGAATAGAGAAAAAAAGAAAAATTTACAACATGATAGAGTAATCATAATAATAATAATAAAAACGGAATATATTTGGGAAAAAAACACTTTCCATATTTATCCCATAAATACACATATAAACAAAGAAGTTATAATATAACAACAGTTAGGAATAAGGAGATGATTTCAGTGATGACATTAATTGAAAGAGGATTGTATAAATGAACGAATGGATGGATGGGTGGAATGAAATCAAAAGATAAATAAAAAAAACGAATGAGAGAAGAGGGAACGAGAGTAAAAACGATGACATATGAACACATTTCTATAGACATAAATGGTAATTAATCAGGTAAGTGGATTTACAAAGGAGAAATAGTAATTTCGATCGAAAACAGAAAAATAATAAAAGCTGATGTAATAATAATCTAACTGTACACGTACACTTACAAATTTACAAATAGCTGAAACTAAAATATGATAAAAATGGATGGAAAAGAGAAAAGAAAGATTAAGATTTGCGCAGTTGGAGAAATCATTGATCGACTGACTAACTATTGATTTGATGTTATTTTATTGCTGGAATTCTGATTAACTACAGATGGTAATGATATAACCGATCCTTTTCCCGTTTGATTTCTGATAACAAGAAAACGAATTGAAAACAAAACAGTGGAATAACAATTATGACAAATAAAGTTCTATATAAAAGAAAACTATGCACTACTAAAATGGTGTTGCCACTGGATGTCAGTAATCTGTCTCAGACAACGATGAACAAACACAGAGAGTCATCTAACGTCCTCAACTCGAAGAGGCCATGTTTCACAAGCATAGAGCAAAACTGCTCTCACTGACGCGTTGTAGATCCGACCTTTTGCAGCCAGACTTACATTACAAAGGCACCAAAGATGACCCAGATTGGCATAAACCGCTCTGGCTTTCACTATACGTACATTGATCTCATCACTCACGCCACCACCAGCACTTATGCAGCTACCTAGATACACGAACCTCTCGACTACTTCTATCTGCACATCATCCAGGGTGAGTACAAGATTAGAATCATGCCAGTCTTGTAGAATTACTTTGAACTTCGAAGGTGCAAAGTAAATACCATACCTACGGACACTGATTGTCAACTGATTAAGTGCGGATTGCATGGCTTGAGCATTATCGCACAGTAAGACAATATCATCCACATACTCAAGGTCGAGAAGTTTTTCTCCAGGCAACAGATCCACACCGCCATTACTTACATGCATCAGAGCTGTTTACAGGAAGTCATCGATAGCAAAGTTGAAGAGAAATCGTGATTGGAAAATCCTGTAAGACCCCATCTGCGATCAATAAGTCGCCATCGGCCACCTAAACGACTCTCTTCTGTGCCTAGACGCCCGACCTGAGCATTCAAGTCTCCGGCTAGTACTGTAATATCTGTCGGACGCACTTTCTGGAGAACAGTGAACTGGTAGTAAACTCATACTTTATCGCATGCGAGTTGCAATCCGTCGGAGCAACGGCGAGGATGACGAAAATACATCGTTCCTCACATCGGTTTCTTCGCACCTTAATAGAGCTTTCTAATTTGACAGCACATAATCAACTGTTAATGGGGATCCAATCGGTCAGTGCTGCCTTAGTTCTAGCGCTTAGTGTGACACCAATGCCAGAAAAACAAGACGAAAATGCCATAGAGTACCCAAATTAAAACACGTAAAACGGGCTTTTCGAAGGGACAGATGGAGAGCGAATTTGTAGTACATTACTAGTCTTGAATATGGGTCACATATAGACAACAGACATAGATATTAAGACTTTCGAAAGATACAGTTAGCCTTATCTGGTGTCGGAACTGCATTAGCGTGTGAAAGTTGAAGTTCAGTTTGAATGGTATGCGTGGTTTCAGAATGATTGTTTCAGTATTCGTAGTCGGTGGTAAAGTTCAAATTTCAACCATTTAGTGACTTGAGAAGCTTTAGATAGGACAGAGTTTACACCGTAGGCGAGCTGTTGTATAAGTCGAAAAATAAAATACGCAAAATGACAATATAAGGGACAACGCAAGTGATGCAGTATAAAAGAAATAAAAACGAATGTTATCATATGGTTGTGGATGAGATTTGTCAGAACAAGCGTTGAAGCAAGAGAAATTTCTCCACTTATAGTTATCATTTATTTGTATGAGGACTGGAATACTGCACGGGCACAACCCAAAGCAGGTGGATTTCTTAGGAAGCCACTCCCAGACTATTTGAGCTAGATATCTAAACCACAAGATAGTGAAGCAACATAAAGAAATGCAGTTTCATGGGAGCCGGTCACCAACAATTGGTTCATACGTTGTTTTTTACTTCAGGATCCTGAAGTCCATGTGCACCATTGGTTTGGAATCAGAGTTTTTCAACTCTGTTATGTGAATCCTCCACATCCAACAACCCGGTTAAAACACTGGGTATTTGCTTTTAGTTTTCTCAATTTCGTAAATAATCACACGGCGAGAAGGCGATGAGTAGGAAAAGAATAAAAGTGAATGTAACTCTCAAGTATTGTAACTGATTCTGAATCACAATTCTTCCAACCTAAACGCCGACAGATTTTACGAAGAATGATTTCAGATTCCTAGTGAAATCGAAAATATTTCATCGGTTATTACTGTTCGACAAGATTTAGCATAATTAGCCCCATTTTGTAATGATCAAAGATACGATATATTCATTGTATTTGACTAACTAAAATTTCTTAAAAAGTATGAATTCAATGAAGTGTAGAATTATACAATCTAAACTGTTATTTTCACTTAATCTGTGTAAGGTTGAACAATATTATTATTTCAGTTGACCAAAATTGAGTACGTTAATGAATAAATCCGAATGTGTAACTTAGTAATGAAAATTAAAGCAATTAAACAACAGAGATCAAGCTATATTTCATGGTGAAAGGTAATTAAAACACTGAAACAATTATCATTATTATTACCATTAACATTTGAAAAAAAATCATTAAACCGTGTAATGTTAGGATTTATATGCAGGATTTAACAGTTATAGATATCACAAAGGTATCTAAGTTAAAATGCATCGAGGAATATTCATACCTATAGCCACAACTTTTTTAGTGACCAGAATAAACGGATAACACAGTGGAAAACAAATATTCGGATGAACTCGATGTACAAGGATCTTTCAGTGCTTAAACAGATAGCCAACATTGTTAAATAACAAATAAATACTTAACTAATGTTTTTCTCACAGGCTATACAATACATACCTCTACTAGGTATATTATCAAAGTTAAATTACAAAGAGAAACTTACTTATGTGGCAACGTTTTGCTACTAACTGGTAAGCTTTTACTACGATCAGATATATTTGAGTTGAAAGAGAGTTGTTCAGTATATAATATTTTTGCACTCTGTATATCAGTATTATTTAGAACTTTATAACGATCACGAAGTAATTGAACCATTAATAATTCATTTATAGCTTTAACCCATGCATCTCTGATAGTAGGATCAGATGACTGAAAAATATAAGTGACTGCACGTTTAGCAGTCCATATAGCGAACCGACGACGGTCCCCATGGAAATGAGGAGTTAAACCGATTTTGGAAAGCTAAACACACAAAAGCATATAAAACAAACAAATAAACATTAACCTTATAAATAAATCAGTTTTGTTATAGGAAGTCTGATAATTGTAATAATCTTTAAACAATGCGTCCCATAAGATTGATCACGTAAATTTATACTTAGTTCTTTAGTTACGCTTACTTAAAATTATGAAGTGAACATGTTCGCTACGATAAACTGGAAAAAGGACAGAATCCAGTGACTAGTTTTGAAAATAAGGTTATTCGGTCTACTTATTTATCTGATTGACAAATAAACGTGATAGGTAAAGTTTCAGAGTTTTAACCTAATAATTGAAGGTTTAATACGTAAACCAGTGAACAGCAAGTGAACTTCTACAAAGTGTGAACCAACTGAGCTGTAATTTGTGATTTACAATTACCAATTCATTTTACACTGAATTCTACATAAATAGAACATCTACATTTGTTCGAAACAAGCATTTCTAGACGTTAGAAATGAAAAGTATGGAGAAATAACTTGAATTTTATGCCTGAATACTAGATGATAATTGCATTGACTTTTTAGTTAACTTCTCTAAACGCTCAGCACTAGTAGGTTATTCAACCTTGGGTTTACAATATGGTAATACAACAAAAGGTTTTGCTCCAAGGTTACAGTTAGAAAAGATAACATGATTAATCTGTGAAAGCATTATAAACAACCTTACGATCCAGTAAGTTTACGAATATGATATTAAAATTACTAATGATTTATATGATTATTCCATCGAATTAACAAAGAACGTAGGAGCACAGTGAAGTCAGAAAACAGTTGTTTTAAAATTTATTGAAGATACTAGTTAGCAGCAAAGTGATTTTATAGATTTTATGATAAGAATTAAAAGAAAATCATGGATAATATCTAATCATACTAATAGGAATAAAAGCAATATACTACCAATGTGCTGACATTTACCTCTAATTCTTGTTTAATCTCATAATAAGGACGATAAGTAAAAGTCGGAATATTAGTTGAAGTAAGATTATTACTACTGTTTCCACTGCTAGATGTAAGTGATTTAGTGAAAGCCAATAAATTGGATGTTGTACCTAATCCATTATTAGATTGATTGTATGCTGAATAAGTATTTGTACATTTTTCATACAAATCAATGGAATGATCTCGTGATATATTTGAAATCGCAGAATTTATCACTGTACTTGGATTAATCAAAACAGGTATAAATGAATTGGGTGAAGTACGATATTTAGTGAGTAATATAGCGTTAGTAAATAAGAAAACATGACGTTGTTTGCTAGGCATAAATCGTACATCATCACGAGATATCGTAAAATCTCCTTGCAACAGAAATGGACCCAACGCAGATGGACGAACCTTTATGAAAAATATTTGTGAAAGGAATCAATATAAAACTTTATAGCAGTTATTAAAAAATTTGAATGAATTTAGCTAATTTGTAGTTTTTAAAACATCAATACAATGATACTGATGAAAACTACTGGAAATTAAGTTGAAGCATACATATACTGAATTTTAAACGAAAATTACATAAATAATAAAATATTGATGACATATTCATTCATCTACCAATCAGTTAGTTATCATGTGAAATCTATCTATAATTGCCTATAATCAAGCATGTATCAAATTAGTATAGAGAACAAATAGAAAAACAGTGCTACTGAGTAAATCATGACTTATCTATCATCGTGTGCATGAGAGCTAAATACACAGTGGAGGCGGTAACACTTTAAATTCCAATATTATACAATGAGATGCTTGTTGATTTGGGGTGAAATATGATGTATGTGCTGATATTTTTCTATCCAAAGCTTATACTAATGATTATAATACCAACAATTTATGGCTACAATTTGAATATTGAATATTTGGATAGGAGATACTTTTTATTTTTATTTTGTGTTCTCTCAGTTGAATGAGTTGATAATGAACGATATTATAAAAATCTGTTTTAATAACCTTGGTTATTCTTGAATAGTTCATTATCTTCACGTACTTTGTTTAACTGAATATTTGTATTTGTGTATGAGTAATTCCAAAATAATTATCTTAGAGATTTACTGCTTAATTAGCTTATTAACAATACCTACAACTCTTCAACATCATTCTAATACAGACATTATTTATCTGATAATTAGGAAATATTCATTAACTTTTTTAAAAATTTACCGATAAACCACGAAGTTGCATAGCAATATTCACTGTCTCACATAATTCCAAAATAGCTTTATGGGCCGACTGTAGGTCACAGCTAAATAATTAACAAACAACATAATACAACTAATATAAATAGTACGGAAAAAATAAATAGTTAATATTTGGAATGGTTTTGATAAGAAAAAAGAAGGATTCATCGCCTGATTGTAACACAATACTAGGGTGATTAGTAATTATACAACACGACATGGCACGATGGTGTTTTGTCTAGATATTAGATATCTGGAGTTGACTTGTAAGGTTACATTGACCTAAATTTAACGATTCTCAATACTTAGTATCACGACGTATCAACATAATTGAGGGAGCTACTAGTCAACCTACAGTTGAGCTTAGTGGATTAATCACAGAGATAAACAGAAGATTATTTAAGGTGCAATTAATGTTGATTTAATAATTTTGCAAAACCAGAGAAATTTAATTAGTAGCAAATGATTTGTTACTACTTGTCAAGGAAATCTACTTACATTGAACAAACCGAAACCTGGAAGATTTTTCTTTAAGGCCATCATAGCTATTGGATTTTTAGGTTTAATTTCAAGGAGTAACATTTTTTAACTACAATCAACAAGGCATACAACACAACTTGATATCCTGCTGTGTTATTTCATCCACTTCATGCACATTAACTTGAATATCAGTCTCGAGCCAGTTAATTGTAATAATACACCATACCCGATGAAACAATGACAGCAATGAATTGTTAAGAATTCATGAAGATATTGACGAAAAGACGCGAATATTTATCAGAGCTATGTTAGAAGAACAGACTTTTGATAAATGCTAAGCTGATATTTCATTATTCTACCTATGGTGAGCACAATCAAATAACTCACAGAAACCCAGAAACTAAACTTTGCTTGAAATCTCTAAATGCATCTGGCAGTGAATATGGAAGATGCAAGGGAAGAATAAACACTGCTGTGTTAATGATAAGCTAATGCGATTAAATAACACTATACACGTTTGTGTACTAAGCTTTGAATGACGCTGACCATATAGTAAAACTAAGTAATAACAAACTTGCTCATGTCACTACTGAAGTATACAATTAGTTTATATTTAAACAGCTTCATATTTACAATTAAGCAAATAAAATAAACACGTCGAAATTCAAATTAATATTTTTTTACTTGAACTGATGAATCATGGAATCCAGAACACAGGCTTGAGTGGAGTCATGAAATACGCGTTACCTATCCGCCGTCTTATAATTGACAGATAAGATCAGAAGAGAAAATCTATGATCAAAAAACTCAGTGTTGCCTTATTTTATAACATTAATACATACCATCAATAAGTGGTCAGCTAACTATAGTATTTCCCAAAAAAATGAGATAATCGAAAAATTACCGGTCAAGTTCATTTGTTTCATGTTGAACAAGTCTATCCAATAGTAAATGATATCGTTGAAAACGCTGTACAGGTGTCACAAGACGAGAACTAAACAGTAATATGGGACGATTTAGTTCAGTAGGTGGGACAGAAGATTCGGAATCATTCATTTTTGTTATTGACATTTCTCTCCGATACACCTCTTCATTGCATGCAGTTAACCAGCTAGAATAAATGCGATCTTTTTCAAGGGCAGCACCGAGTTGAACTGCACAATCATGAAGCGAACAATAAATTGTGTATAAGTCTACCAGATATGGGACCTATAGATGCAAGGCAACAATATAAAATCTTTTATAGACTTTCATTCCAAATCATTATTTACGTGTGAAAAAAATGAAGCGAACTGGGATATGTCCAATAGAGTTCCTAAAATTGTAATGTTTAAACATTTCTCATACATTGCTGACCTTTAAACTAACCGATTGAGGGAACATATGAATTCTTTCTTTTAAATATCTCCATCCAATGCTAAGCATCACAAATATACCTTACAAAGATAGAATCATGGATAAAGCTGCACTGAGTAGACTTTTTATTATTTTCAGGTTTCACATAAAAGTATGACATGTATTTATAAATAATTAAATAAAAGTATTGTGCAATCGACTGAAATATTATCTCAATGACCTATAAACACATGCGAAAGGCAAAGGTTATGACAAAATTATAAGACAAGTTTATTCACTGATTTGAAATTTTACACGAACTTATAGACTATCGAACATATCAAAGTGGATAGTAAGAGACTGAACCTACACTAGTGTATATCTACTATAACATATATTGATTACAAGTTTACTTCAAAAATGCATCGATTTGGTTAGATAACATAGACTCTACAGTAGTCCGTTATTAACTATTCATTTACCAAATACAGGTATATGTAGTTGGATTTGAACCATATAGGCTTATGTGAATGTTAGTGATACTACTCGATTGTCCAGACCGAATAAGGTGGAATAATGTTCAAACAAGCAACACATTAGTTAAAATTTTAGTCCTTCGGCAACTAAGCTAACACTCAATTAGAATATAGACAGAAGATTGACAAATAAATACTAGAGTACAATACGACAGGTAAAATCCACTATCAAACGAGCCGTATACTAATTGACGTTAATCAATAAAAAAAACTAAATATTTTCATTGATAAAAAAAGACACAATCACTTGTAAGTTAATTAACAAAATAAAATATTAGTTAAACATACCATGTGAGATACCCAATTTTTAATTTTTCCTGAATTTCCATCGCACAATATTAAATGCGGTAGTAATACGCTAGGTAAAAAGTGAAACGAGAAAAAGAAAAAAAAGAACTGTAAAAAAAAGACCGACTACTAACTCCAATCATTTTAAAATTGATGAAATATTAGTAAAAACATACAAAGAAGTTAATGTGACATATATTAACTACAATTAAATTTCTATGTTAAGTAGATATAATCTGCAAAACAACTATAATTTATTTCCTAACACCAGCTAGTATGATAAAGATCAGTGTTTTCCAAGAATAAAATTCTTTAGTAAAAAGATATACGATAGATTTAAGTCATATACAGCAAACAATAAAAATTCTATATCAAAAAAGTCAATAATAAAAAGCATAGAATCAAAAGGAATTCAGCCAAAGGGAAACGATTTTTAAAAGAAAAAATCAAAAACATACATCTAGGCGATGTTTTTATGTTTCAAACAGCCATCGTATATATGCCATAATTAGGTAGATTTCTATAAATTTTGACTAACAATGTTAATCTATGCTGACATTTCTTCAAATTTCTTCGTTCCAGATAAAACTATATTGTCTATGTTTAACCAAAATCGCATAACAGTGAAATTTCACTTGGGTTTTTTTCATTTCGATATGAAGTATAACAGCGTGAGTTAATATTTATTTATATTGTGTTCATACCTGATTGGATAGCCCTTGAAAACCTGTTGGAAATGGTTTACAATATTTTCTTATATGACTCTACAAGTCGCCATATATGTAAGCTAGGTATAAATGGATTAATATTCACTAAGTGAAATTTAGTGTTTTTATAGGAAAAAACACTACTTAGTATTATTAAGTCTTCGCTCTTAATAATTAAATAATAAAATCTGAGTGTTAAATATGCTTCAAATTATCCTTTATTTTGTTAATAAATTGTAGTCCTGACGGATAAATAAATTCTCACTAACTTTTGATGAACATGACCTTTGCTATTCTCCTATTGGTTACTTTCTCTTTTATTACGCTACTTTATCATGTCTCCAAAGTCGTTGCTCATATACAATTGTTGTAACATATATTTGAGTTATTATGGAAAGATTAAAGATCTGCCTGAGACCTGTATTCTCTAATACTCAATCACATATGCGTTACTGAAGATTACTCTTCCTATCTTTAAAAAAGGTTCACGTCGTTCCTGTAACAACTATAGGGGGATAAGTCTACTTCCGATTGCGTCCAAGCTATTGCCTTCCGTCATACTTCGTAGGTTGTTCAAAACCCAGGAAAGGTTGACTCGCGAGGAGCAGGCTGGCTTTCGTTCTGGTCGAGGATGCATTGATCATATCGTCACCCTCCGCCAAATGTTAGAACACCGCCATACTTATCAAAGGTCAACAATCGTAGTGTTTTTTGACATTAGGGCTGCCTTCGATTCGTTGGATAGGACTGTTCTCTGGGATTGTCTGTTGAAGAAGGGTGTGCCTGAAAAGTTTATTAACATCCTAAAAGCCATATATAAAAACACCTCAGGCAAAGTGAGGACATACAACCACCTTTCTCCATTGTCCCATTCGAGCAGTGGGGTTAGGCAAGGTTGCCCAATCTCACAATTCCTATTCAACTTTGCCATCAAAAACATACTGGAAACAGTTCTGATGGCTGTAAGTAATGGCGGTGTGGATTTGTTGCCTGGAGAAAGACTTCTCGACCTTGAGTATGTGGATGATATTGTCTTACTGTGCGATAATGCCCAAACCATGCAATCCGCACTTAATCAGTTGACAATCAGTGTCCGTAGGTATGGTATTTACTTTGCACCTTCGAAGTGCACAGTAACTCTAAAAGACTGGCAGGATTCTAATCTTGTACTCACCCTGGATGATGTGCAGATAGAAGTAGTCGAGAAGTTCGTGTATCTAGGTAGCTGCATAAGTGCTGGTGGTGGCGTGAGTGATGAGATCAATACACGTATAGTGAAAGCCAGAGCGGTTTATGCCAATCTGGGCCATCTTTGGTGCCTTTGTAATGTAAGTCTGGCTGCAAAAGGTCGGATCTACAACGCGTCAGTGAGAGCAGTTTTGCTCTATACTTGTGAAACATGGCATCTCCGAGTTGAGGACGTTAGATGACTCTCTGTTTGTTCGTCGTTGTCTGAGACAGATTGCTGACATCCAGTGGCAACATCAGGTTAGCAATGCAGAGGTTCGGCATCGTGTTTTCGGGCACAGAGACGATAATTCAATTGGTGTCATTATCTTGAAACATCAACTTCGGGTGACCTGGACATGTTCTACGAACGTTGTTTCAGAGAATTCCACGTCGTGTGTTATCTGCCGACGCTGGGACTGATTGGGAAAAGCGGAGAGGTGGTCAGTGCATGACATGGTGTCGTCGTATGAAAGAAAGCTGCAAAGGGCTGACTCCTGTTGATCCTTCACAACTCCCTTGCTGGAGTCCGAGAGATGGTGCAACACAGTGGCTAGAGACGTTATCAGATATGGCTCAGAATAGAAGCCAGTTGAGATTTCGCTATAGCTTTCGTTTACTTTCTTCTTAAAAGTGAAAGTAACTTCTTTAACTGAAAGAATTCTGGTTATCTCTTTCCGTTTCACCATTATTATTATTACCCTACCATACACTAAGCTGTAGTCGTTATTGCTTTGTTTCTTTTTCTTATACACCCCTTACCTTCTTTTCTTCTTCCCATTCTCATTGTTTTGTGTGGCGCATATATATCTGGTGTCCACTTGTACCAATATTTATGTGTTCAAATAATAAAAAAATAAATACTAGTTCACACAGATTCCGTTTTAAATTAGAAGTCTCCTAATCGTTCGTACCTTAAAATAGAAAAAAATATTTCACAAGCCGCCATAATAAGTAGTCACTATGTAACAACAATTACCAATCCCAGTGCTTAGGACTTTTACTTTTGTACAGTTTAACCTTTATTGTGTAACGTCTTTTTTTATCGATTTACAAGATAAATTCAGTAGGTTTAATTAATTTCAGAATAAAAAGTTTGATAAAATTTAACAACCAACTGAATGATTTCATCACGTTAGCTTTCGTCAATCAATTACTAAATAATAATAAAATGACAGGACAGTCGACAATAAAATCCAGTACACATAGAGAAATAGAAAAAAGCCCATTGATCTATTTAATAAGTGAAACTCTCAGTTCCCTATCAAAGCACGCTTAGACTTTAACACCAAATTCAGCCAGTCATTAACAACGTAGATCTCGACATATGTGGATCGGCTCGAGTATTCGTTCCACATGAGGAAGACGAGATAAAAATGAGTTGCAAAAGAGATCAAAATGATATGGTATAAATAACAATAATCCTAAAAATAAACATTGAGAATATAATTCAATCGACAACCACTGGCAGTCTGCCTAAGTATATAGGCTACCTGTTCACGCCATCTAGATATTTCTACAGGTTATCTGTTTCTGTTTGTTCTAACACATCGCTATGACTACTAATCGCAGAAGCGTCTACGAACACTTTACACTATTTCGCTATAGGAGTTACGAAAAAGTATAATTAGAGACATCATGGTGGCTGGCAATATGCATTGAAAAGAATGAACACTATCCGCATGTCGACTCCTGAACTGCTAATATCTTACTGGAGATCACTAATTGGCAACGTGGAGTCCATTCAATTCCTACGGAGTTTAAACATGTATCGCAATCCAAGAATCCTGGTTAAATTATTTACAAGACGATTGCTCAGTATCACCGCAAGGTTTCAATATTTATCGTCAGGACCGATCAGTAAATAAGGAAAAGAAACTTGTCGAAATACTTTGTGCTGAGGATTCTAAATTGTACCAAAAATATAATATTGAATAAAACCAATAATAATAATAATAATAATAATAATAATAATAATAATAATAATAATAATAATAAAAGGAATGAATGAAAGAATATTGGAAGTCGATATAGGGAAGAAGATAGGGAGTAAATGCACCTGGACCGCTGTGGACCATTCTGAGCTGAGTTACACAACATCTCCAATCACTGGTCGTAGTTATCACATGGACCCCAACCCGTCAGTCTGCATCTACACGCCTTTTAGTTGATAGGCGAACATCTTACCTACACTACAAGTGATAAAGGTTAGTGATGGTCAATTGAATGCATGGCAAGCCCTGTTCCGACATCGAACCTCCAAGTTAGTTCGTGAAAAGGAAATATCTGTCATGAATATTTCGAAAACTCTCTTTGATACATTAAGTACGCAAAAGTTAAAAATAGGATATTGAAAATATAACGTTACAAACAATTGCTTCTAATTATAAATGACAAGTAAAAGCAGGTAACAGATAATCACATTCTGAAAAGCTATTTTTTAATAATAAAAAAAGCTGAACCAATCCTTACTCTCTATGGAAACGTAATAATTCCGGCCAATTACACAAAAGACGATTTTGATTATCACGCATAAATGTTGGCTGTGGATGCGAACGAGTCCCCAGTTCGTCATTATTAACATTATCAATAGAATTTAACCATACTACCTAAAAAATAAATAATATGTACAGAAAATGCATAGAATTCAACAAATATTCATATTTTAGCCTGTTTAACTGAAAGTCTAAACTAATTCATTTAAAATCACAATGGAATATTTTGGACATTACAATTATTATTATCATAGTCAAGTAAATTTCAAAAAGCAAAATCAAAACATTTTTGCCAAATAGCATATCACCTGAGGGAAAAATGATAAAAGTACAATGCAATGATGAACTTGGGGGATTTATCAGCCAATCAGGGAACGCTGCATAAATGCAAAAAAATAAACAATAGAAACCAATAAAAAACAGTAGAATAACAGCTAAGATCTGAATAATTAACCTTCACATGCAAAATTATTCTTTCTGGTAAGGGAAAGAGATCACATTCATATATGAGGAGTTACGAAGGTCTTCTGAATAAGGGTTATCATTTCATAGATTTTTCGTTACTAACTGACATCGATGATAGAGTAGAAAGGTTGGGTTAAGTATTAAAAATAAGGTTGAAGTTTTGAGTTAGGTTTAAAAATTAAGGTTTCCATTTTCGATAAGTACTGACATTAGTTATAATTAAGTGCCTTACCACTTAGGATCGAGATTTAGAGGAAGGGTTAGAAAGGACGAACAATACATAGCTTCACTAAATACTCTTGACTACTCATCGAATCACATTAAGCGCTGTAACAAACAATCTGCCTTATTTTTATTGATTCCGAACATTTTAAGAATCAATCATTATCAGTTTTCATCTAGTTAATGATGATATACAAGTTATCCACCACTGCGCTTCAAACTTTGCGTAAAATGCACGAGGGTTTGTCTTAATTCCGACTGGTTATTTTAATGCTGTCAGTACACTATACTTTTAGCGAAAAATTTACTCAATAGATATTTTGTTAAGAAAAAAATTGGATGGAGTTTGAATAAATTTTGTATACAAATATCCTATAAGTACAGATACACTGGTAATTTTTAATTTTTATCAAATAGACAGTTCGGAAATTGATTCATTGATTATTGTCACTATTATTCAAACTATACTGCATATTTTCAGTACAGGGTTGCGGAGACTATTGAATTTCATTAAACATAATGAATCATCGTTAAAATCCCTGAAGCACTAAACAGCCGTTTAATCCTAGTACGGAACCCCTAAGCAGTACGCATCCACGATATATCTTTGTGCTACTCGGCAAGTAAACTAATTAAGCTGGAGTAATGTTCGGAAATAAGACCTAACTCTCAAAACCGAAATATTTTAACTGAAAATCCATCAATATCGTGATTCTCTTGACTACTACTTACAAGAAGTGGAAAATTCCGACAAGTGTTCACTTTATCAAAACATATACAGCACTAATAACTACAACGACAGCATTACGAACAACAATCAATGGAATACGTCTGTAAAAAGTACTAAAAAAGACTTATCAACGCTTTTACCATTGTATGTTTGAACAAGTTTTGATCATTTTATTAGTGAACAGTTGAATTCTTGCACATCAGCCCCATATGTACAAGGTATGTACTTACCCTATACATAAACATAAACACGTACACGCTCAAAAACAACTATGCAGGAAATTTGTTATTTCATCTAAAAATCAATTAGTGCGATTATTGAACATTGACAACTGTTTACAACGTTTTCATAACAAAAAAGGCAAGCAGATCTTAGTTCTTGTTGGATTCCATCCAAATATTATAATCACTGACATAAATATTTTGGAAACAAAAAGCAGATTACACAACTATCGATGATTGCGTGTAGTCTGAAATCGACTCAATCAGAGAAATAAGTTATAGATAAAAACAATGAATGATTCCTTACAATCAAATAAAACTATTCACAGAAAGCCAGGAAAATCAAACAAGCCCCACACAAACAAACACAATAATAATGTTTTCATGTATTTTTATTGCTAAACAAAACTTCAGTAAGTCAAATTACAGCGAACAAACACTGTGAAGGTTAACTAGTAAAGACAAAAACTGATCAACAACTGAAAAACCAGACTTGACACCATTAGCTAGTATTATATAAACACCGATATATATATATATATATATATATATATATATATCATGTCAAGCTGGATTTGAACTACAGATACACACAAATAGAAACACAAAAATATAACGCCGTCTATAGGACTGAAAGTAATGTTGGAACAAGACGAAATCAGTGGACCATTTGACGAATTATTAGCTTACCCATCTGAATATCAAACATAAAAGTACAAAGGGGAGAGAGATAAGGTGAATTATGTAAGTCTAGTTTGTATATCACTAAGATAAGATAAGATCACTAAGATAAGATGGATAAATTATGTTTGAATGACAATATGATGTATTGGATGAAAATTAATTTTGTGATCAAAAAGTACAAATGGTTTCACAAGAATGAAATAAGACTGCCATAAACGTTCATAATGAAAAATAGTATTTACATCACGGTGATTCTGGTACATTTTTTAGATCAAAAAATTTCCCATCCCGTTTTGTTCAATAAAATGAACAGTTTTGCAAAGAAAGCTATCGGCTATTATTTTTCGAAGAGTAATATTAAAAGTAATGATTTCCTCAATATTCAACTTTTCTCCTAGCTGTGAACCTTAACAATCTACTTGGCACTAGCTACATGATCTACAATCACTAATTGACGAATGTAACCTGATCAATTCTGTAATATTACTTTCTGAGAGGTTTACTGACATGGCTGAAATCAGCAGGATGTATTTAACATGCGACACAAGGTGTCCTTACAGACAAGAAGCAAAAATTTATTTCTCATTCAAACTATGGCCTTAGATATGGATCTAATGACCATACCAATCCCCATACTCTTTATTCGTCATTCAATTTCAGTACTACTTTCACGATTTCTGTAATTCTTCAAGAGTCCAACCAATAACTGGAGTCATTTTACTTCTAATGATATGCATAGCCTTTCTCTCATCACAATTACTGCCGGTTTCAATCGACATAAGGACAGAAACTGAGTTCTGTTTCCACGTGATCAATAAGAAAATTAATTTCGTTTTGGATTTCAATATTTATTAACAGCCAGTTGTAGGATATCCCGGTCTAATATAATTGATGTGGCTTTTTTCAGAAGTTACAGTTTTATATTAAACGATGATGGATTCGTCTGACAGTTTTTATTAAACTAAAATTAAAATGTAAGTTCTAACATTCAATCAAGACAGTTTATGATAAATTTATTTTAACTAATCAGACTACAACAATGCACAATTTATAGCCAATAAACAAATTATCACAAGCAAAAAAATATTTGTTCCCAGACACATGAGAGCAGATTTTGAAATACAAGCTAACAAATCACTCATTATTAAATAATTATAATCATGCTCTTAAATTTTCATCAATAGGGGTGAGGAACTACATAATAACCGTGGTAATAATGTCAGCCCATACTGAAAACGATATCCACATAGGAAATAGTACGGAATTTCGCGCACCAACACATACGCACTAATGTTTAACCCGTTTACCAAGCACAGGTTTTCACCTAGTTTGCTTTGCGTGCAGCCATAATGTTTGGATGAAGAATAAGGACACTATCAAACTACTTAGAGCGACGCTTGAATATGTGACCTACTGATTAGAAACCAAGTGCTTTCACCACTAAGCCAGTACTTAATAAGCTTTAGGAAATCAATGAGCTCTGATTTGTTGAACAGTCTGGAGCAAGGTACTCGAATACAAGTGGATTCGGGGAATCATTTCCACCTGATAAAATCACTGGACAATCAGTGTTACATAAACAAATATCATATGAAATCCAGTAAGACAACTTTGTGATGATATAACGGAAGAGATAGGTATAAAAAAGTGAGGGAATAAACAGAGGAAAGTAGAAATATAGGCTTACATCCAAAGAACGTTGACTATCTTTTCTCCACTTAAATTGGAAATTTAAAAGAAACGGTCACATAATTACTGGTTACTTGGGCTCCGAATCAAGTTATCTTGTCACTCAATACCTAGAAACCATGCACTATAGTATGGAAAAATACACCCTTTTCATCTTCGTCTACGTGAACATCAATTAGCGGTCAAGTGCCATAACATATCCTCATTTATATCAATGCACGTGGACAACTATGGACACACATTCAACTGGAAAAATGTGATCTTGACAGAGGCAAGTCTAAAAACACCAGAGAATTTTTGGGGCTTGTCACTCGGATCAATCAGCAACCAACAAGCATATTGGAATTGATCCAATTTATCAACCAATCAGAAGAATTAAGGACAAACATAGGACCGAAAACCAAACCAATGGGAGATACAACCAAAATAAATAAGTAAACAATGACAGGTTTAAGGTCAACAAAAGCCAATCAACATCAAGGTGTACAGGACAGGCTGTGAACCACATGTGCAGAAATTTGAACATATCACTTCTACCTGAAGTTTGTGCTGATGACGTCGTTCAGAAAAACGATGAAAGCTCCAAGACCAAAACATCCAGCTCAGAGAACAAAACTTCATCAAAATCATCCACCTGAGCTACAAATCTCCACCATATGGAAAAATACAAATTTTCAACTTTCAAATGAAAACGGTCTAACACTAAGATAAGAAAGAAAGGATTCATATTTGATAAGGTTTTATTTTTAAACATGAATATTTCAACTACAAGCATTTCTTAAACTTATCTATTAATCAGTTAAAAATTAAAAAATGAACTATTTATTTTCATCTGAAAATCAATAAACTAAGGTTGAATATTTAAAATAAACAATACAATTTATCTTATGAAAATATTTCGGTAGAAAATGTTTACATTTACTATTCCTACACAATGAGAGTAAGTAAACAATGGAAGTTAATTGACAAGTTTCTCTTTAAAAAAATGATATATCAGGCTAATAAGTTAGGAAACTATTTGCAGACTGTGATATTTTTGTATCTTTGATACACACAACAATGGTGTCAAATCTCTTAGGTACAGTTAATAGACTACAAAGACAATAATCAATATTTAAATAACTCAAATCTTATTGTCAACAAGTTTTTCCATCAATTTTATAAACGTTAGAGCGAACCTTCACTGTCTAAGCACAAAACACACTACACATAAACAATCACCACAATAGGCTTTTTTCCTGAAGACTATGTGAAGTACGTGTACCGCGTGAGGAAAGCTAAAATTAATCAGTTGTAAGAGATGCAATGAAGAATTACCAGCAATAAACAAGAGGTTTATAACCGCATCACCTAATAGTAGTTTGATAATACATTAGAACATATTGAACTTACATCATAAACATGTTGTAGAAAATTCACATAAGATTTTTCTGTATCTACCAGTTCTTTCCATGCTAATTGATATCGTTTACCTGGAGTTGATAATGAAGTTGGAGATTCTAACTGTGACAGCTGATATGATGAAGTTGAGTCTGAGCCTTGAATGGAATTGGATACTTTGTTATTGTGGTTCTTAAGACTCTACATTTAATAAAAGCAGAAAACTTTAATTAGTATAGCAAGAATAAGATTCCCTTAACAAAATATAAAATCATACGAGGTTATAAATGAGTAGAACTTCCAGTCCCGTTCAATGTAGATACAGTAGGTTAGTTCGCTTGATCTGTTATTAAAAATTCATGACGTTAAAACGTAGACCGTAAATTGACAGAAGTGACACAAACACTGCAGAAATGTAGGCCTACTGAATAGTTACCTCAAAGGAGAATTACCTTAGTCGCTAAAGCACTCAGCCTATGACGACTGCGTTGAAGGTTCAAACAATGGTTACGCTTACTTGAAGTGATATCACTTTCTGTTACATAAAATGTGTGACTTAAAGTCGGATATAAATATGAAGTATTATTTGGTGAGTTGATAGTTTATAAACTTCAGCAAATTAACAATCACAGAAGTATGCTATTTATTTATAAAACAATAATTCAAATCGGAAAATTTATCACACAAAACCATCTATGTTGAATGATCAATACAAGTGTGATTTTAAAAACCACTATTTGAATAATATTTCATTAATTCATGAATAAAGTTTGAAAATATTATTCAAATCTAAGATCTATGGGAAAGTATTCAGAGTATATAGTATTAGAAATGGAAACTTACTTCTGAAGATGATGATGCTGATTCAATAGCTTCTTGAATGGGTGAATTTGTCCCAGGACTAGTTAAAGTACTACCACTGCTATTAGTACTACTATTAAAAGATTTAGAGTTGGGATGATTTCTTGGGAAACTTGTTCGTGAAATGTGTTGACGAATTGAAGCAATAGCAAGATTACAACTTTGTGCTAAATCTTCTACTTGTTTTAATAATTTACTTAAATGACTCTACAGATTAAAAATAAAAACAACACATCGATGCATAGAAGGATATCAATTGAGAACACTAGAATAAAACAATCATAATTAGAGAAATCTCCAATTACGGAATCAGTGTATCATAAAGAGATATAAAATTAAATTCACATTGAGGATTAGAAATCAAATTATTACTATTCCCAGACCAATATGTGTATACAATATAGTCTTACAGGGAAATAGATTATTACTGAAGCAGTTTTACTAGCAATGTTTGACACTGTGGAACTACAGAGTATGTACAGATAGACCTTTGATTAAGTTTTTTTGTATTAAAACAGTGGTAATAAATGAGGGGTTGAATTAGTGGTTAAAGAATCCCGATTATAACCAGTTGCTCGTAGATTCGAACCCTATTCCCCGAACTCCAATTTGGACAACTGGGTAGAATCATCAGACTGCATAGAAAATATCTGGTTAATAAACTTGTAATTAGCAAGTGAATCACATTCATGGTGATAACATAGTTCAGAAGTTAAAAATAAGGGATAAAAAGTACGAGAATCAGCATTATGGTCATGAATTCTGAGTTATATTTCATTATCTTAAACCATCGACTTCCAACATCCCAAGGGCTCAAGCCTTGAACTACAGTTTTCATCGATGCTAAAAGCTGACAGCACAGAACCGAAGTCCTATCAAGATACTATGCCATAAATATGAATCTTCAAGCATTACGAAATGATAATAGAGAAAAGACTATTCCAACCAAAAAGCACTCTACTTTCTTGGTATTAGTAGATAAGTTTATTCCATGAAATATACGAGGTTTACAGAATGATACATCTTTCAAAAACAAATAATTCTCTTTTTTGAATTATTCTATGAGGATTTTAAAAGTGATACATGTTTTGTTTGTAGAGATCACCGTCGTGTGAATTTCATTTCAATTATTTATCATTTATTTAGAAATAGAAACATTTTAATTTAAAGAATGAATATGATGGAAAAGAGAAGAATTTGTAGCAATGTTTCACGATAATAATTAAACGAAACCCACCTTCAAATCAGCGTCTAATAATCCAACTAATCGTGAATGAAATAGTTTAGGATTTCGAAGCAACTCTAATCTACTCTGACGTGAAGAAGTGAATGTAATCAATTCATCCATACGTGACCGACATTCCACTAAATTCATTGTAGTGAGCTTATTCGGTGGTGTTACTGTCTTTAATAAATGATGACCTTCTTTAATCCATGAAGCAGCCTATAAGGAATAAAGATTAGAGTATATCTTTGAAAAGTCGAAAAAATAGAAAATGTTAAAACGCTATAAAACCGAACAAAATAGCTACATTAAATAGTCGAAGAAAAAGCTCAATCACAGTCACACATATTATTCATAAGGAACCTAAATATGAGGAAAATATTCCAAGTACAAGTTCTGGTTCTTTATATACAAACCACATCTTTTTCTGTTATTAGGAATTATATATATATATATATATATATAGCCATTGAACGCATATTTTAGGTAGGTAATTGAGAAGACTGAGTAAAAAGGCAAGGAACATGAAAGAACAATAAATAACAATGTTGCAAATATAAAAAGTAACACTACTCACATTATCAATTTCTGTGTACAGTTGTAGCAAACGATTAATTTGATCAGCTGCTTTTGGTAAATCTATACTAGCTAAATCAATCATATTTTTAAATAACACAGACCATTCTTTTACATTTGAAGGAAATTTGATAGGAAGAAAATATTGTTGCATGGATTCATCAGTTTTTTCATTATAACTATGATTAATTTCATCAGACATAACAAGATTAGATGATTCATCTTCCTCTCCAGAATATAGAGATAAGCAACTGGTATTTAGGTTAACATCATTTTGTTGATTACTTCCATTTAATTTTATTGACAAATCTGGACAAATAATATTTGAGACTAAATTTGCACTGACCAATCGATTTACATCACAACGGAGAAATGAAGCTGAAAAACAATATTTAATCAATTATCATTTAAGACTGAAACGAATTCATTCGATTTACTTAATAATAGATGAATATAGAAAATAATAATCACACTAGGTGTCACTTTTATTATATAACAACGAGAAGTATTAATACTCATGATTATACTACAGTAAATGAAATGATCCGATCAATTGGTTTATTAATGATTAGGTATATGTATATATCATTTATTAATAGCGATACTGTCTGGTTTCAAAACCAAATTAAGCGAAATTGAATTAGAACAAGTAGTTCAGTGATCAAAAATCAAATGGTTCAACCACTAACTAACTGTTCAAATGGAATTCTAAAAAAGTATATCAAAAATGAAAACCAATGAATAGGTAACTAGAAAGTGATGGAACAATAACGATCAAAAATACTATATCTACACAATATGGAGTAATATTAATTAAGCAATGATGGTTTTTCTTACCAAGATAATTGTCTTACAAAGCTTAGATGTTATATCCATGCTGATTGTGTAAAGAATTTGGTAAATTAACAAACAGTCTGATAATAACTTACAGAAATCATTGTATGAGGTACTCCAATCACAAGCAAATCGTAAGGACTATTATTTAGCCTGATAATGCAAGTTTGAAATCAGACGACCGGATCTGATAAGGTATGTCTAACTAATAAATCTTCGCCATTTTAGAATAAAATTAATAACGAGACATCGAACACAAAAATAGTGGCAGCTTTGAAATCATTACCAGATGAACCATATTTCTTTAGTCTGAAATATGCTCCGTTTGAACTGAATATCTCAATATTCCAAAGGTCAACCACTTCATAAGAATGCCTAAAATAAACAACTGCTCTCAAGATTAGATGGGACTGAGCCTTACAATAGTATGTCGAACATACAATAGAAATTTTGAATATTTTCCGCTCATAAAAATTAAAAAGATGAACATATATACAGAATAAACCAAATAATATCGAGATTTACTCAAAAAGTCAAATTCCATTAAACAGAGATGAAGAAGACTACATTTTGGAAAAAAACTTTTAAGCTCAATTCAGAAAAAAAGCAATGTTACACGATGAGTAAAAAAGGTAATAAAAGCAGAATAATAATAATCTACCATATTTAAGTAATAATGAGATAATATTGAAATATTGTGTAAGAAACTAAACAAAAATATTTATCTGACATAGTCAACAGAACCTCTCACGGAACACAATCGATTTAAATTGTCGCACGTTCGATGAGAAGGAAAGAATATTAACGAATTGAAAAGTATTCAAAAATGAATTAAAAGGAAACTAGTACGTAAACTGTAAATACGAATTTCAAGATTCAGAGGAGTGCAAAGAGAATGAGTGCATTTCGCATCAGTGACTCAGACCATCAATAATTTCTAACAACATAACAGTTGATTTCCCATCTACCGCTTACAAACATATATGTATTAAAATGTAGCATTGAAGTATGATATAATGTGCATCAATTGACATTGATGACGGAAAAAATTAGAACAAAGTTTATCAATAGTAACTATAAATAGATATCTGTGTAATAACAGTTGTGTGAGGTCATTGGGAGATGAAATCCTAAAAGAATAGGAGGGTGAATGAGACAGTAATCAAATGAAGTCCGGGAAACAAATAATACAAATTGTGTGCCAAGTATAGAATTTGTGGAGAATTTAAGTAAATTTCAAATCACCAAAATAGATATAGAAGATTTGGAGTGTTGAGATGATAATTGTATAAAATTAGAAATCGATAAGGTGGGTTGTGTAATAATTAAACAGGATTTGAAGAGGTTTACATAAGATCAGAGAATTAAGTGAATGAAAAAACTGATGAACTAAGAGGTGATTTCGGTGTAAAATAAGAATTAGTTTGATGAAGACCACATAACAAAGTAAACACTAATAAAATAATAATGAAACCAATGAGAAATAACGATCTACTAGGGTAGTGATAAGTCGATTACTGTCTCTTTCTGGACACATAATTCAGGTTTGAGTTTCTTTATTGCCACTACTTCGGTAAACCGAAGAGACGCTGTGTTTTTATGTCTGCTGATAATTTTGAAGGGTTGAGGAATATCAGGTATTCCCGGTATCAATCAAATGCGGAGCTATTGCACTATATGAAGTTTTTGCACCTGTCAGTCTCAAGTTGTTTGAAACGTTCTCAGAAATGCGAACATGTACTCTTCTCTTTGTTCTTCCAATCTATGTGTTTTGGCACGTACATGTAGATTGGTAAATGCAGCTGGAGGTGCCGAGAAAAGAGGACTTGTTAATTTTTATTTGTTTGAGTGAACAGTTAGTTTCGCATAACGTCATCAGTCTTGCTGATGAATACGCAATCTTCATCGCGACATTTATTCTGTATTTAATTATTCCAGTGATTTCATCTTTGAAGCGTGTAGGTTGGTTTTTGCATACTTCTCCATGAATTTCGCTGGATGTGCATTTTGACGTAGGCAATTTGTAATGAAGACGAGTTCTTCTTCCAAGCTTTCCTTCAGTAAAAGTTTACGAGTGCAGTCAAAAAGGGGTTCGTACAACCTCGTTTTTGTAACTTATCGGACAGAAGCTGTTGTAGTTTAGATAAACTCCACTCCATGCATTTTTACGGTAGTTGTGTAGCTTTTGAAGTTCGTTCGATTCCAGCATCTAAGAAATGGGATTTACCTTCTACTTCATGTTTCATAGTAAAGTCTCTGTCGTTGTGTGCTTTGTTAAACAGACTGAGCGAGTACATAGAAAACTTCTAATTGTTGCAAACAAGAAATTTGTAATTAATATATCTACGATAGAGTGTAGTTCCTTCAACTGAGTGCTTAAGCTTCTTCTGTTCCAGGTTTCCCAAAATTGGACTCAGAGCAACTCCATCAATCCGGAGGTACAACACACTGTTGAAGTGGAATTGAATATTTTGGTACACATAAACAAGAGCTGTTTGAATTCATTGCTTAGGGAAGGAAGAAGTTGGTGATAATGACATATAATTTCAGTCGTTTCCCCCAGAAGTGATGAGACGTCGAAAGATACTATAAATTTGTCGGAATCGTTTAAGCCATCAAGCTTTTGTACAAATTCGAAACTATCCTTCAGATTGCAGAAGGCTATTTTCTGGCGGATCGGTTCTAAACACCATGTCAACCAGCGGACAAGATTGTGGAAAGGCGATTTGGTTATCGATAATATTACCCTCAATGTAATGTTTGACTTGTGCATTTTAGGTAAGCAGTACAAGGTAACTGAGATTTTTCGGCTTCAATTTGTTGTACGTAGGATTATTGATCAAGTTCTTCTTCAAGAGCCCTTTCAACTTTGATAAAAGACGCATCTCAACCGCATCTATCAGGTTTTTTTAGCACTGTCGATGATGAATCTCGTGGAATCATTTGAAAATATTATTTTGCTTATGTATTCGTCTCTGCTTACTTAACGTTGTTGCATTTTGGTCAACTCAATACTTATCATCTAAAAAAACCAACAGAAAAAAGTACGAAACTTTGACCCTGTGATTAATCCACTTGACTACTGACCAATAGGTTTTAAATTCAAATCTCTCCTCCAAAGTAATATCAATTATACGCAGGCAAAAAGAGTTTGGTTACCAAATTGAATTACAAAAAAAGACCACATGATATAAAATTCGACGAATATATTTACACAGAACATGCAATAACAAACACTTAAATGATAAATGCAACTAACTACCTTGATAATTGTCTTTCCCATTAGAACTGTTCAGTAACACTCCTTCTTTTTCTTCCACATTATCAATTACAAATAAAACAAAATTGCTTGCAATCTTATCTAATTCTTTTAATCTCGCTAATAGCCTATTACCAGTGGCTTCGGCTTCCAATATACGACAAGATAGTAATTCTAAACTTTCCAATATTGTTTTACTTAACGATGTATCCGTTTCATCACCATCATTTTTCAATGCAGAAAGTATAATGAAATGTGAAGGGGAACATGGTGAATTATTACTATTATGAATGCAACTGTTCTCCTTATCATCTTTTAATGATTGATTATGATGTTGATGTGCTGGAGATAAAGCGGAGGAGTTGGACATTTTAACAGGTAAATAATCAACTAGAGATTCAATTAGATTATTCCATGTACTGGCAAGGTTAGTAAACTATGGAAAGAATTTTTGGAAAAATGAAAATAAGAATGAGATTCTACGCATATTGAAATACCATAAATACGAAAAATAGAAGTTATTCTCAACTAAACCATTATACTGAAATCACTTTACGATTTATCAAAAAATGTCTGGTCCCATAACCAACATGTAGTGATAACTGACCAGTTAAAACTATGATTTACTAGTTGCAAGATTCAGTGCTCGATAGCTGGATCAAGAGTTTTGAGCTTCAATATTAACAGACATGAGGTGTAGACCTACCTACCTCAGCTTACTTCACTGACTAACATAGGTTGTAAAAAAATTTAGATTGCAAAAGGATCAATAAATAGCATCAGTTTAAGAGGTCATTATCTGTTGATCTGAGCCTTATCGAAAAATGCACACTTCCTGATTGGAATTAATGAATGAAAACATTGAAGGGAATCGCCCAAAATTTTTTTACTGAAATGGGTTTATTTTTCATCTGTCGAATTCGTAGCGTGGCCTTAAACTTTCGTTCCCACATTTAACTTGTTGTTCATGGACTATATTATGCATATTTAGATTTATATTAGCATTGGTTTGGGTTCCAAAAGTGGTTAGTAAAACTATACGAAGATTTTCACATACATTAAAATCAAACATATTACTAACAAATGCAGACTTTACAACATCGGTTATAAGTTATCCCCGAACAACTCTCAGTATAGGTCAATTACAGCAACAACACTTCTCATGGTATTCTGGTCCCAGTTTAGTTACAAAAAATAATGCACAGAAAACATGTTTTCTCAGCTTGTAATAATTCAGAAATTATCCATACTGTACTAAAATAATCTCATTTATAAGAGTTATTTTGTTAGTGCTACAAAACTTAGATTTGAAAGCAGGTACAACCATCATATGACTTCAGAATAACTTTAAAATAACCTTTACAACCCGCATTTGTATGACTCATCTTGTTTTGATTTTTTTAAAGTATTTCCGATCTGCATTTTACAAATATACCTTTAACATAGATTCTGACAAAAAACAAACCAATGCAAATTCAAAGTTTAAAGTTAGTTAATGAGATTGTAAATCGGATACAAATGAAGTGGTTAAAACACGTGTTGCGTACACTTGGTGATATTTAATGATGCATCTTCGTAGTGGTCGTAATAGGATCATAAAATTCTAATATGGTAAAAATAAAACTTGTCACAAATTCATTAGGTCACTGATTATTGGTTGGAGTTATGTGAAATAAGTAGCATATATTACCGAACTTCGTCTTATGACAACTTGATCATCATTAGCCATTAGTGATGAGGAACTCAAAAAAAGAATACCAGATTGTTAATGTGTTTAAAGGTATCAATGCTAGGGTTGGACTTGATAATTTCAAATAAATTGAGCATTGCGTAGAAAGTTAATAATAAACATATTTTTGTTATATCCTAATGAGTAGAAAAATTGCATTTCTGAAGTGGCTTACATTAGGTCACAAAACGTCAGAAATAAGATTTTTCTACTCATTGGGATATAACAAAAATATATTTATTATTAAGAGTACCAGAATTGTTTATACACACCACAGTTAGCAGACCCACTATGAATTGGACTTTTTTAATTGATTTACTGTCCATAATAAACTAATTTCAAATTACATATTATATAGACATTTCATGATGCTTTGAAATAAACACTGATTATTCAAAGTCCTCAGTGGTATTGAAAGTATACTAGACGACAAATATCTTCGTCTCGATTTTGAACATCTTACTATTCTATATTTAGGTATAATTCATTCAATCATAATCTTTGAGTTAATTCTAATACGCTTTCCCCACTTCCTGTAATTTTCTTGTCTGTACATTAATTTTTTAGGTTTATAATATCAGTAATGAAGTTTTTACAAATGGGAGCTGTGGCTTACTGGTCAAAGGACTCGATGAATGGATCACCGACTTAAATTCGGCCATACGTATCAAAGTTTTGACAACCAGGTAGAATCGTTTATAGTTACATGGAGAATTCAGTTCATAGACGAGTACACTAACCTGTATGTGTTTAGAGATATATGTTATTTTATCTTACCTATTCGATTACTTTTGAGCTAACGAAGAAAGTTTTGAATAACAACGTGTACAAAAATGTATTTATTTAGAAGGTATATTAAAACTGAATAGTCTTATGGAGATAAGGTGAATTCGAACCAATCAATTGGGAAAGCTTCAAATAGTTTCGCACTAAAATAAGTACTTAACAAATAAATAGTATTACTGAAGGCTTTGTACCAAAAAGGAGTTAAATCAAATGTTGAATAGAGCTATTATCTAAGCAAAGGCTTTGTTAAGTAAGGTTTGTCATATATATTCATTTTAATTTCTATTTGCGAATGTACTTCTAAATAAACTCATTTCAATAACACGCTTGTCAGAGAACCGTGATTCAACTACATATTTTGTGTTTAAGTATACCGATCGTAATTGTACTATTTAACGAAGATTCGAACAAAACACGTTTTCACTGTCCTGGATAAAATGGTTAAAATGAATAATGTACATATCTTCAAAATGGAAATACAAAATGTAGAGTTTAATGCTACTTCAATCAGGTGTTTGGACACAGCTTTTACTTATCATACTTACACTGTTAATCTAGTGTCATAATTATTGTCTAAAAAGTCTTAACTACACACAAAACAGAAACAAAAATTCCACTACAAATAATATTATATTCAAAACATACTTACTTCGTAATATTGGTTTTCAACATCATCAATCAGAAATGTAACACGTACTCGTTTCATGTATTCACGCCAGTACCGTCTTAATTCGGTACGAGCCTCAGTTAACTTAATGAGTATACGATCAAAAGTAATTATATGAAAGACATAATCGACTGGTAAGTCATATGCATCACTTGTATTAGCCCATGTCCCCGTTTTCGATGGTATATCACATTTTATTGTAGTGTCTTCTTCTCGTATAGTTGTACATGACTGATTTGAATTTTTCCTAAGTAAATTTTCACGTATTTTCAAACCCTTTACTTCACAGTGTGAAACACGATGTAACCAATGATGACATTTTTTACGTAATTCGAGCATATTTTCACAACTATAAAATTGGTTTAAATGGCAAGTTCTTGATTTCAGATTGCAATAATAATCCTGTCGTTGATTATAGTTTTGATTAGTACACTGATTCATGATGTTTTTCAATTCAGTGTATAAATGTTCAACTTGTTCAAAGTATTCCTCAATATCCTTTAATTTGAAGAATTGTAAAGATAAGGAATAATTATTACACATTATTTATAATTACAAGAAATAAATACAGGAACAAAATGATCAGACAGGAAAAACAATTCCGCTTCGAATAAAGCGATGTGAGAAGTAAGTAAGGAGCGAAAAAGATTGCAATAGTCGTATTAGATTAATAAGCAATGGCATTAAATCAGATCAAATAACAGATAATAAATCTGTCGCAAAGATTACAAATCCATTCTGTTAAGCTTTAGAAGTAGATGAGATTAATCATACTCCCACAATACTCAGGGTATATTTTAGTACTCAATATTAGTTAAAATGATAACCAGATAAAACAGACAGTCGAAAAAAAATCAAAGAAACTAATGGCAAACAACAAGTGAATAATCTGAATATAAAATGAGGCCACTATTCTGTTACTTATTTGTTTTATTTTGTTCTTTTGTCTTACGATTAGACACACATAAAAGCAAACAAAATTAGTTTTAGGTTAGACTAGCCAATCATTGGTGATTTTACTCTTATTAACCATAAAATATCATTGGATTATTGCGAAAATTCATGAATAATTAAAAATATAAGCGTAAAACTCGTGTGTTTATGTTTAAGTGTTATCCTTATTATTAAATGAGTGTGCAGTAAGAAAATATGATTAGTTATCTAAGCCCATATACAAAAAACAGATTAGAAGAATAAATGGATAAGGTTTGGTTGATATATATATAATACCTACTTGTGAAAACTGAAGACAGAAATCTTTTCGAGTAGCATAATGCAAAATATGTTGTCGAACCTGGCGAGAAATGTACGGATAAGTGCGATATTCGTGTAATAATTCTTCAAAAGTATTGATTGAAAATGTCAAACAAAAGACAGTGATATAAATTAGGCAGCTATGTTAAAACATAGTTAACGGTTTCGTTATTTCCAAACCAACTTCCTAAGACAGAATCCCGCTCAACTTCCAGGTTTTGTAGAGAATGGTTTTACTACCGTCTTGGATTTCTGCGATTGATATTTTTAGAGTCAAGATAATATAGTAGAACTGCTTCTGTGTTATGTTAATTATTGGCTTTATATAGTACTTGTAGTTAGTATTAAGACGTCTCATAATGGCTAATGGAAAATTTATTCACAATTATTACAGGTAAAGGCAATTACCAATAACCACTTTTCACCTGAAATACCAGAACTCGGGTACCATGTTTAAAAATCTGTATAAAAGCAACACTAAGTGAGGGTAAATATCGTTACTTAATTCAACGTTCTGAACCAGCGAAAGAGTATAACGGGGTTCCGTTTTGCCATCCCCTCTTAAATGGAAAATATTTGGCATCCGTAGCTTAGATATAGTCACCTCAATGATCTTTGTTACTGTGTAAGAATACCGGATTTTTTCGGTCTGGTGGAAAGAAACCTGAGCAATCCTGCACTGAAAGGTATTTCACTAACAAATTCTGACAACTAATGACTAAAAGATATGAAGAAGATCTATTCAAAGAAGAAACTACTATAGAGGACAACTAGAAAGCGATCAAAGAAACACTAACTACAACGCGTCAGGGGGCTCTGAGCTGCAAGAAGCATCATAAAAAACGGAACTCCATAGAAATTCTAAACAAGATACAAGAAAGGATGAACAAGAAGTCAGCAATTAACAACAACCGAACAAGAACAGAGTAAACCCAGGCACAAACTGAATACATAGAATCAAACAAAAGAGTGAAGAGGAGCAATAGAGCTGACAAGTAAAAATACGTGGAAGAGCTGGCAACGACAGCAGAAAAAGCTGCAAGAGAAGGAAATATGAGACAGCTATATGACGCAACGAACAGACTAGCAGGGAAATATGGTAAACCGTAAAGACCAGTCAACGAAAAAGAAGGGAAGCCAATCATTGAGATTCGAGGACAGAGGAACAGATGTGTGGAACACTTTTAGGAGCATTTAAATAGAACAGCTCTATTGAATCCGAACATCGAAGCAGCACCTACAGACCACCCTATAACTGTCACTCCACAAACGATCAAAGAAATCAACACGGCCATCAGACGAATCAAGTTGAAAAGCAATTAGACCTGACAATATACCAGATGAAGCACTGAAGTCACACATAGAAGTAACTGCAAACATGCTTCACACTCTATTCAGAAAGATTTGGGAGGAGGAGCAAGTGCCCCCGACAGACTGGAAAGAAGAATATCCAATCAAGATACCAAAGAAAAGAGATCTTAGCAAGTGTGATAATCACACAACTATCGGTATCGGGAATGGTTTTCAACAGTGTTGTTGAACTGGATGAAAGATTCAATAGACGTCCAACTCCGAGACCAACAGGCTGTCGTGTACTGACCAAATCGCGACAGTGTATATCATCGTTGAACAATCAATTGAGTGGAACTCGTCACCATACGTCAAATTCCTTGACTAAGAGAAAGCATATGACAGTGTGGATAGGAAAACCTTATGAAACCGTCTTCCACACTATGATTTACCTGAGGAGATCGTCAGCATCAAATGTAATTCATACGACGGATTACACTGCAAAGTTGTGCATGGAGGACAGCTGACAAACTCATTCTAAGTCAGGAGCAGTGTCAGATATAGCTGATTACTCTCACTTTCTTTTTCTTTTGGTGGTTGACTGGATTGTGAAGATCTTTATATCGCAAGGAAAATACGGAATGAAATGGACAGGTTGGATGCAACTAGGGGATTCAGACTTTGCAGATGAACTGGCCCTTCTATCTCATACACAAGAGAAAAACCAAGATCCTCAAATACAACAAGGAGAACACCAGCCCAATCACTGGAAGAGGTGAAAACTTTGATGCACCTGTGAGTATCATCGACGAACGAGAAAAATCTGGTGCAGACGTAAAGGCGAGGAATGACAAAGTGCAGCATCCCTACAGTTGAAGAACATACGGAACTTAGAACAACTGTCAACCAACACCAAAGTCAGAATCTTCAATACAAACGTCAAGACAATTCTACTGTAAGAAGCTAAAACTTGAAGAACTACTGCAGCCATCACTAAAAAAGTATGAATATTTATAAACAATTGTCTACGCAAGATACTGAATGTCCGCTGATTGGACACCATCAGCAACAGTCTACAGTGGGAAAAAACAAATTAGCCTCCAGCTGAAGAGGAAATTAGGAGACATTGAAGGTTGATAGGGCACACACTGAGGAAAACATTAAACTGCATCACAAGGCAAGCTTTCAAATGTTCTGGTACGACCGAGTGGGGAGAGTCCTATTTCCCTCTAAAATTGCTCTCACATGGCCATGTGTTTACAACCACTGTCAGGGATATCCTAATAACTGTCTTCTCGCGACATTACTGTTCTTTACGAAATTGAGAGAGCGAGAAGCGAATGTCCGGTGCTTTAACTGGATTGGTGGATATGGGGGACCCACCTAGAGAAGTTGGAAAACCCTGATTCTAAACATTGGTGCACATGGGCTTCAGGACCCTGAAGGAACAAAGGGAGTATGAACCTACTGTTAGTGATTGGCTACCATGTGACTGCATCTCTTGATGTTGCTCCACTGTCTCGTGGATTAGAGCTTTAGGTCAAAGGCTCTGGGTGTGGCTCTCTAGGAGAACCAACTGCTTCGATCTGGGATCCTAGGCAATATAACAAGTCACACACAAATCAAGTGACTTGTGTAGCGCATGTATATCCGGTGCCCCTTTGGTACCAATATTTGTGTTTAAATAAACAAATAATGCAAGGCAAGGGATAACTAGCAGTCGTGAGGGAGGACGTAAGAAAGGAAGGCCGAAGAACATTACGCACCGACAACTGGAAGTGGACATAAAAATAATGAATAACGACTGAAAACAGCTCGAAAGGACTAATCAGGAAACAGTTCGATGCACAATGCTGGTGGGCTGCCTGTGCTCCTCCACAAGGGGTAACAGGCATAAGTAAATATAACACGAAAGAGCCACTATGAACCTTGATACAAAGCCAAATATGGACCGAAATTTATTACAAAATACTTCAATGAAAAAGGTACTAATAATGAGTCCACGTATTTAGAACTTACTATCCTGTTAGTAAGCCAGTCTTCAATGTCGAAATTAAGCTCACCGCCCAAGTCACTTGTCAAGTGTTGTTGATCTATAAAAGGAAGCAATTCTTCAGTTTTGTCGACGAAAATTAACGGAATTTTACAGCCATCACGAATTGAGTTTATTGTTTTCTCCAAGAAAAAACCTTGCATAAAACCTTGAGGTTTGATAACAAATATTTGATGTAAGTTTCCTGGAAACTTTTCCTAAATATTTAAGTGAGGAAAACTCGGATGATTACTAACATTTAGCCTGGCAACAATCGACTTGACAACTGTCCAATTACCAGTACGCCTATCAATAACGACAGTAAACTCTTGAACACATGTTAACATTCTGCTTTTTTGAGGAATAATTACGAGAAGCAACTTACGTTGATAATGAAGAAAAATACTGCATAAGAAAAATGTATGAATCATCACCTAATCCATCTAAACCGCGATCTTGGAAAATTATAAGGGAGCGGAATTCCTTATCATGGCCACCTATGATTAAAGAAAATACTAGGAACAACATGATCTTACCTGTAAATATAGCGTACCTCCTTAGGAGTAGGTCCTTTATATCTTTAGCTAAAATCGGTGAATGTCGGTTGCTTGAAATTAACTGGTTGTCTATCATCTCTGGATTTTCCTTCAGCTTAAATTACTTCAAGGTGCCACTAAATAATTTCTGTAAATTTGCGAGAAAACGGTAGAAAATCTAACATATTAAGTCAGCCTATTAGAGAGTTCAATATACGTAAGAGTCAAACTAAAAGGTTGGAGGTTATACCTGAGCGACATCTGTCTACGCATCCTAATAATAAAGTTTTAGAACGAGAAGTAGGAATGGCGAAAATACGAGCTATTCTTATTGTTAATATATTATTAGTAAACTCAAAAAACCAGTTCTATATAAATCCCAAAAGTCAGTCACACAGTAAATTTAATTATTTCATAAACGTTTACGACCTAAGTGATAAACTAAATAATTCCAACTGTAATTTGTGGTAATTACGTCATATTTGAATGCGTTTCCTTACATATTATCATCAAACTATCCAACGAAAGTTATTTTAAATGGTCTTGAATTTAAAGTTACATACGCCTGTCCATGTGAGTAATAATGTATATAGACATACCGTCTCTCTCCATAATTTAAAAACTCTGCTTGAGGTAACGACATGTTTAAGAATACCGCCTTAAATGTTAGAATTCGAAACATTCAGTCTTCAGTCTTTAGTAATAAGGATAGGATGTCTATCGACCTATATTAATCCTTGCAGTTTGTAAAACTGTGGGGGTCCAACCTTATTTTGAATATATTAACAGACGGTGCTGATATTACGTGTTCCGGCACAGAATTCCAGCAATTCACTACTCGGTGCGAGAAACGGAACTCCAGACGTAAACAGTTTGTTCTCGGTTTTTGAAATTTCTTCGAATGTCCTCTCAAATGATCGGTTCTAGACGGAAGCGAAAGATAAGACATGTTAATACCAAGGTCATTGTTCGGTATACGATAAGCCAATATCAAATCACCCCGTATTCTACGGTAAGATAACGGAAACAAGTTAAGGTTTCTCAGTCTGTCTTCATAACAAAAGTCAGATAGACCTTGTACCATCTTAGTAGCTCGTCGTTGGACTCCTTCCAGCATATCTGTTTCACACTTGAAACAAGGACACTGTGCTTGAATCCCGTATTCTAAATGTGGTCTCGCATAAATCGGGTATAGTAATCTAAACATTTTGTAGCGGTAAGTAAATCCCCAAACTAAATAGCTCTGTAAGTTTTCGACATTGGATGCTGACCATATGTTTTAGTGGACTCATCTAGCTGAAGGCGCTCGGTCATGCATCCGCACCAGATCACGTGTGGTAACGCTGTGCTTAACATCTATCGCAATCGCTTGCCAGATTAGATCAGAGAATTCCGATATATTGGTAATCGCTAAATACACTCTTCCGAGACGTTATGAATCATTTATTGAATGTCTAGAGCTTGGACAATGGACTCAGTATGTCGATAGCCCTACCAGACATCAAAACATCTTGGACTTAGTCTTTACCAGTGGCCTCATCCCCAATACTCTGTATATTGGAAAAAAGTTCCCAGGTAGTGATCATAACATTGTCATATGCAGCCTTAATGTAAAAACCACAACCGATAGAAGCAAAACCATAACACTTCGTAGAAACTATCGCAAGGTTGATTGGAATAACTTCCACAATTACCTAAGAAGCACTGATTGGGGAACTTTCTTTACCTCAAACAATACCGACATATTAACCAATATATTTTATCACAACATCAAAAGTATCATCAACAACATCGCACCTTTAGAATACTGTAAACCTGCGTTCTCCAAAGATCTCTATATACCGGTCAGTACAAGAAGACGTCTTCAAAGACATTGTACTCAATTCCACAACTTGAATGACTTTTCCTCTTTAGTAACGATGACAGAAATACTTGTACGAACAGAGGCAATAAGTAAACAAAAAGCAGAAGCACAGGAAAAACGTGCAGTTGAACTTAATGATAACTCCTCTGCACTCACCATACTACTCCAAAATAAACTTAAACTCTCTAAACCGAGAGGGAGTATATTCATTAAAGGCAAACAAGTATACGAAGATCCCAAACTTGTCACAGAATTATTTAGTGAACATTTTTGTTTCTCACTAACTAACGAAAAACCATTTAATGATTCAGAACGAATCCCAGTAACTCCCTGTGAAATTACTAATGTAGAATTCAATGTACAAAATATCTCCAAGGCAATCAGTACATTGAAACACTCCTACACTGATGGACCAGATGGTATTCCATCTAGCATGCTAAAACGTAGAGGTGATGATATGTGTGTTTTGCTTCTCAAACTATTCGCGATATCACTCTCTTCAGCGTGTTACCCCACTACCTGGAAAACTACACATATCATTCCCAAAAATAAAACAGGATCTGAAGCAAACGTTGAAAATTACCGGCCTATAAACATAACTTCAGTGGTATCCAGAGTGATGGAAAAAGTAGTTAAGGCGGCTGTAGTCCAACATCTACTAACTAATAATCTCAACTCGACCTCCCAGCATGGATTTCTTAGGTCCAGATCATGCGATACATGCCTAGTAGACTACCTGAATGATATAACTCTGAAACGAGACAGCGGACTCCTTGTATCAGTCCTATTCCTAGACTTCAAGAAAGCCTTTGATAAGGTTCCACACAAAAGGCTACTCGTCAAACTAAAGTCCTTCGGAATACACAACCCACCCATGTCTGTAGGGCAGAACATTTTGTTTAATTACGGCTCCTTATGGTTTAGTGGGATGCCACGAACTTATGGTATTGAAGCTGATCTATTCACGCAAAATACCTCTTTAAGTCGTGTTACGAACGTTGAATTGGTTTCACTTCCTACCTAGAAATCCTATTACAAGCAAACTAGACAATTCGCTAATATACGAAGCCTAATCAAGACCCTATAATAACTGGGGGAAAAATATTTTTAAAAAAAAAACGAAAGAGGCTCTAATAGCTTCGATATTAAAGGGAAGACAGCCAAATGTATATCACAATACTGTTTCTAGCACTATATTTTATTTTATAATCACACATAATCTTATACTCTCAGCTCTTTTCCGAATCGCCCCCATTTGTCAGTTGTATGTCCACTCACACCTTGTCAACACTTATTTTCTTTAACCTATTAAAATGCTCTTTCTCAACATATACCTTAATAAAGGAAAATTAGACTGAGTAATCATACCTTAAACATTCCTTCATGAATATTGGCTACTCTGCCTCTCGTGTTTTCTTTTACTTGCTCCCTCTTTCAGCCCCCTTGAGATATGGAACTGGTGACTTCATCCTGCACCATCCTTAAAGCCTTGGATATCCCAGAAGGAAATAAGGTTGCGATTTTTAGAAGCCCATACCTTCAATGGACCTATTCTTGACCATCAGTCGCACATTCGCAACGCGACTTTCATGAAGCGCGCCAACTGTAGTACTGATTTAAACCATCGACATTCATATCTTATAAATTATCAACCCAGCTATGTAATTTATTGCAGTGTATATTGTATCATTTGTATCAATTTGATCTTGCCTGTAAACTGGCATGCCTCATGTAACAAACTGTTATTTGAGAATAAATTATTATTATTATTATTATTATTATTACTCATGGTTCGCTTCGTTCTTAACTGAACGTAAACAGATGGTAAAGTACAATGACTGTCTCTCGTCCCCTAGGCCAATCACCAGCGGAGTCATCCAGGGAAGCGTATTAGGTCCACTTTTGTTTCTTATGTATATAAACGATATATGTAACACCATAAAATTTGGGAGACCATACTTATATGCTGATGATCTCAAAATAGTATACAGCTATAAGCCTGAGACACTAAGCGAAAGTGTATCGCAGATCCAAAAGGACCTGAATAACTTAACTATATGGAGTGAAAAATGGCAATTACCATTTAACCTCAACAAGTGAGGGATCATGCACTTTGGAAAGCATCCCTATAAACCGCAACTTCACCTAAATGAAAGTAGAGTTCAAACACTCGAATCAGTACACGATTTAGGAATTAATTACACAGGAAGCCTGAACTTTGAAAAACATGCCTCTTCAATTATTTCTATATGTAGACGGCTAATTGGCTTTATAATGAAAAACTTTTTCACAACAGAGTGTAAACTTACTCTCTACAAAATATGTGTACGACCCTCCCTTGAATACTGCTCTTTTGTCTTCTCTAATATGAATACCACAGACAAGATAAGAGTAGAAGATGTTCAAAGACGTTTCACACGTCAACTACTAGGATGTAACTCGGATCTCGATTACACAGACAGATGTAAGCATCTATCTTTAGATCCTTTATGGCACCGTAGGCTAAAAAACAATTTAATATTTCTCTACAAAGCGATATATGGGCTCTCTTTTCTAACCTCCTGCCCGACTATTACCCACGACCCAGCCTATAGACTTAGAAACAACGCATATACACTACTTACCGTAAAACACCAAAAACAAATGCGTTGTAAGTTCTTTACAGTGCGGTACAGTTTATTGTGGAACAGGCTGCTAATGCCTATCCGTAATTGTGAAACGTTTATCAGATTCAAAAAGCTTATAACCCTATATCTAGACTCCAAAGAGCTTCAACATTTCCTTGAACTCCCGCCCACCAATGAGGCACTTTATTACGGACCGCCTAGTATCTAGAAAGAACAAAATTATAACAAGTTCGACTGTTACTAATATGAATATAACCGAATCACAATATATGGCTTATCCTTTCCTATTACTCATTGTTTATTAATCATGACTTTATGCTCCTAACCATGGCTTTCAGTTCCCAAATCTCTACAGGTTAAATGTACATTATTCTTCCTAAAAGTCATGCCTTTTTTCTACTGCAAGTAGATAGATAGCTCAATCTTATGAATGCTGATCTACTAAGGCCGATCATTCAAAGCTCAAAATTTGGCCACAAAGTCTTGTGAGTTTCTCAATGTTTTATTTCTCTTACCCTGAAATCTTTTTTTTCTACAATTTTTTACCCTGTCATATTTTTAAACCATTAGTTATTTTCATAGCAGTGTGATATACTATGTGAACATCTAACCCATAAAAGACTTTTCAACTATCTGATTTGCTTGTAACATGAACCTAGTAGAGACAGTGTATTCCAACTATGGGTCTTGATTAAAGCAGTATTCATACTTACCACAAACGTAAGAGAGCCTAACATCACAAAAAAAGGGAGGGTGGCGTTACTGACCAGCAAACATGAAGGTGGGGAGATAACTTTAATCCACCCATGTCTGTAGGGCAGAACATTTTGTTTAATTACGGCTCCTTATGGTTTAGTGGGATGCCACGAACTTATGGTATAGAAGCTGATTTGTCACGCAAACTATCTCATTAAATCGTGTCACGAACGTTGAATTGGTTTCACTTCCTACCCAGTAATCCTAATACAAGCAAACTAGACAATTCGCTAATATACGAAGCCTACTCAAGACCCTATGATACCTGAAAAAAAATAGTACAAAAAATGAAAGGGGATCTAATAGCTTCGATAAAGAAGGAAGATAGCCAATTGCATATCACAATACTGTTTCTATCACTATATTTTATTTTATAACCAGACATAATCCCATACTCTCAGCACCTTTCTGAATCGCC